GGGGGGGGGGGGGGGGGGGGGGGGGGGGGGCGGGGGGGGGGGGGCAAGCGCCCCTGAGGCCTGGGACGGCATCATCGTTCTGGAGAGGCCCCGATCCGGCTCCCCACGGAAGCGTCGGGGTGTGGGAGCCGAGGGCCACTCCCGGCCCAGCAGCCCCCCATGGCCCTGCGGCCGTTTCCAGAGCGGAGCCACCCAGGGTGGGTGCTCGGCTCCCGGAGGCTGAATGGCTCACAACCGGGCTCGGCTCGGGCCCGGCGAGCGTGCAGCCTCTTGCACACTTCCACGCTCCTTCCCCTCCCCACCACTCCTTCTATTTTTAGTGATGTTATTCTTTGTTTATTTGACCAAGTTCCGTCTTGGAGGAGGTCTGGGGGCGCTGGTTTCCAGTGGCTGGACGCAAACGGGCCAAAAATAACCGGCACGTGCAGAACGAAAGTTCTGGCAGCCTTCGGGGAGGCGTTTTGACCTTGTGGGACGGGGAACGGGGTGTGGGGCGTGCATGAAAGCTGGAGAAGCACCTGGGGACTGGGGGAAGAGCATGCGAATGTCCCGAGAGACCCAGGAGGGCTGGGTTGCCCATCTAGGATTGAGGTTCTGCACTGTAAACACCCCCCCCCCCCGGCTCCCATGCAAAGTTCTGCACCTCTGCTTGTAAATGTGCGCTTTTCTCCTGGGGAAACTTGGATCCAGAGGACTCTGGCCCGGGTGGAGCTTGTCTTTGACCCAAATAGTCCGGATCTCCTCCCAAAAGAAGCCTGGCGCGTCCCCCACGGCCCCTCTGCCCTTGTTCACCGCCTCTCCCTTGCGCCACGGGTGCCAAAACCTCTTGCTGGAATCGAGTCGATTCAAGCCAGGAAGGAAGCTGGGTGTGTAAACTTCCTGGGTGGCAGGGGCCCAGGAGGCACCACAATCCCGATCCCGGTGGTGCTGGGAAACGGCCCTGCGTGGAATACGGGCGCCCCGAGGCCAAGCTTCGCAGCTCCTGCCTACTCCCCTGGCAGGAAGAAAGGTAGAAATTGGAGCAGTGCGGATCCTGCTTTCGCTTGCGGGCTCCTGGCTCACCTGCGTGCGCTCAAACAGCACTGCAGCTGGAAGGAAGTGGGTGACGCCGGGCCCTTTCTCTCCAGCGGCGAAGCGGAGGAAAGTCAGGGCCAGAAAGGGGGAGTCACTGCTACGGCTTCTTTCTTCTCCGGAGTGAGGAAATCTGCGGAGTAAATTCTCTGCGGTGGTGCCCTGCTTATGGAATGCGCTCCCCAGAGAGGTCCGCCTGGCGCCGTCGTTATTTGCTTTTCTGTGCCAGGCCAAGACCTTTTTATTTAAACGTCATTTTAATTGTTGAATTTATTGATTTTATACTTTGCCGGGACGTCTCCAGGTTTTTATGTATTTTTATATATGGTATAGTTATTTATTTGTGTTGAAAGCCACCCCGAGGCTTTTGCGAATGGGGTGGCATATAAGTGTTCCAAATAAATAAGTAAGTAAGTAAGTAAGTAAGTAAGTAAGTAAGTAAGTAAGTAAGTAAGTAAGTAAGTAAGAAAGAAAGAAAGAAAGAAAGAAAGAAAGAAAGAAAGAAAGAAAGAAAGACGTTGCGGGGCCAGGTTTTCGGTCACGAGACCGCTCAGCCGTGGCCCCTTCCTATCTTATAGCAGGCTGAATTCAGGTGGCAGGACTGGCTTCTTGAATTTTTTTGGTACCCGAGGTCTGCTGAGAGGAGTCCGTTTTAAAAGAGAGGCTTTGGAAGGGGGGCAACTTGGTGGCATGTCACGGGCGCACGAGGCAGAGATGGTTCCCTGCTTTGCCCTGGGCAGCATTCACTGGGGTGACCTTTCCATCCAAATACACATCTATGCTGAATTACCATAAATTTGGGATTCTAATTCAGGGAGCGGAGAAGGGCTCTTTCTCTGCCAGGAGATCCTGACCTACTTCTGCCTGTCACCAGTTCTGATTTGGGTTTGTTCCTCTTTTTTAAATTCCGTGCACAGTAGAGCTGAAGAGAGGCCGGTGGTGCTGATCCTGACACACAATCTGTCCACTGAACAGGTTCTTTGGGCCAGAAAAATCTTAAGATTCCCTGCCAGCCCTGAACTCCAGACTCCAGCCGAGTGCCTCGTATCCCTATTCAAACTGCAAAAACCGGTTTTTGGGTAGCACCTGGGCAGGTGGGGTGTGACACAGACTCCACCTACTGAAGAGTGACGGACGGACACGGAAGGTCATTGAGCAAGGCTTGTTTGCACAAGTCCCTGACCTAGTGCCCTCCAGATCTTCAGGACTGCAGCTCCTGGGTGCTAGCTAGGCCTCATGGGAGTTGGAGGCAGCAATGGGAAGGCGCCAGCTTGGGAAGCGGTGCTCCAGGAATGTTCAGGCTGCATTTAGGCAGTGGCTCTGTGTGAATGCAGAATTCCACTTCTTCCTTTGCTTTTCTTTTTAAAAAGCCAACTTCCTGTCCCTCATGGCTCTTCTAAAAGCCCAGAAGCGGCTCAAGAAAGATTCCGGTAATCAGTAAGGTCGGAGCATTGCATTCTTCCTCAGCTCTCTGCCAGGACTCAGAATAGCAAATCAATTAAGCCAGACAAGAGAATCTATGCACATTTCTGTGATGAGGCTAATTGATGGATTTGTGCGGTCTCTCCACCTGAACCTCTCGTGATGTCAAGGCAGTCCTTTCCCATTCAAGAACGGGGGTCCCTGGCAAGGAAAACATCGAGCTCCCGCCCTGGGATTAGTCCGTCGGTGCTGATTGGGGAGCAGCACCGAGGCTGGCGGGCAGCTTGTCTGCATGTCGCAGGATCCGGACCGCGGTTGGTTTGCATAGAGTCTGGCTCACCTTGCCTTGAGGAAGGCCCGAGCTTGCCCAGGGAAGAGTTTCTCCGAGGGGCTGGGGGGCCACGTGGGGGTCTGTGCCTTGGAACAAAGGCGCTTTTGATCTGCCATGCGAGAGCGGAGCCCCCTGGCGGGGCGGAGGGGCGCTCGCCTGGGGAGAGGAGGAGGAGGAGGCCAGCGGGCCTTCGGGCCAGTGCAAGACGCCCTCCCAGCAGGAGTTGTGTTTGCAGAACTGGCCGTCCTGGATCGGCCCCCAAAGCGCTCACCACACATGCTGGAGAACAGAGAGCGCTTTAATCTCCGCCCGGGTTTCGCATCAGTCATGCCTGTTCCAAAAAGTGACGTCGCGCTGACCTTGGGTTCAGGCGGCCGAGAAGGAAAGTGGTGACCCTCAGGGCAGCCCCCCACCGTTTGTCTCTGGGGGGCGGAGGGGAAGCCGTGCGGGGATGGACTGCTCCGTCTCCTGTGGGAGAAGAAGGGCGAGGCGAGTTCCCGGCACAGGCTGTCAGTCCTCCAGGCTGTTTGCTGAGTTCCTTCTGGCCTGCCTCTGAATGGCCCAGTGCGGAGGTGCCACGCCGCCCTGGTGGTCTGGCCAGGGCGCCCCAAGTTCAAGCTCTCTTGGCTCCCCAAAACGTGGTTTCATGCTCGGCCTGAGGGAGTGGGAGGGGAAGGTAATAGGCTCGGGAGCCTTCCTTAGGGG